CATCATCATAGGTGAGCAGAGTCCGGGTTAGTCCGGGTTAGTCCGGGGTCAGTCCTAATAAACAAATAACTCAGACTCAGATAAACTACTTTACTGTCAGTTAAAGTTCACAGTAACACTGCAGGGTCTGGTCATCTCATCAGGCCCCAAAATAACTACTACAAAGTTATAAATTGTGCAAAGTACTTTCAATAAATAAAATAAAAAAACCCGGGTCCGGAGTTAGTCCGGGTCCGGGGTTAGAGGGTTAGTCCGGGTCCGGGGCTTTAGGATCAGAGACCTCAGAGGACCTGGGAGCCCACAGGCCCGGTTATGTACCATAAATACCATAAAATACCATAAACTAATAAATATATAGGCTAACATAAAGTCAGATTCAATACTTAAAAGTCATATACACCTGCAGTGAGTCAGAAACACACACACCATCAGGTCTCTGTTCTCTGTTAGCTAAACTTCACAGTTTCACTGGAACCAGGAGGGTCTGGTCAGCTTATCAGGCCTCTAAATAATTACATTAAAGTCCAAATACACCGATGGTAAAATAATAAAAGTTAAAATAAAAATCCAAAATGCAAAGTTAGAAAAAGTTATAAAATAAAAAGTTATAAATTGTGCAAAGTACTTTCAATAAATTAAAAACAAAATCTCCCTCCCGCCACCAGGGGGGGCTGCTGCCCCCCCACTTCCGGCGGCCATGACAGAAGTATTTTTTTTAATTAACAGACTGTCCCAGTGTGCAGAAAAAAGTTTAAAGTCATAAATGTTGATTTCCAAACTGACCGACAGCTGAATGTTTAGATGAGAGCAGAAAGAACCGTTTGAGTGGGTAAATAATAAATAATAAATAGTAAATAATGGAGGCTTCCGAATCAGAATCAGAAATACTTTAATAATCCCAGAGGGAAATAATTTTTGTTACAGGCTCCATAAGTAAATGGGGGGAGACACGTCATGTTTAACCCGGTCCGTCCTCCATTTATTACCAAGAAACACATCATCCAGCTAAAATCTGCTGACCAAACTGGACTTTTGTTCTGACCTGTGGGCAGAGGAGCTGCAGAGCTTCTTTTTAGACCAATGAGGTGAAATAGGATGATTTTCTACGGCACACTAGTGTACCGAGGACCAGGGGTTGAAAACACTGGACTAACTATCCGGTAGAGAGAGGAGACCTGGGGGGGGACAGGGGGCGGGTCTCTGAAGCTCAGGATTCTCATCACAGCAACAACTATAGAGGAGATTCCCTCTAGTCCACACATGTTTGGAACTCTTTCTGAGGAGAAAGGTTTGTGTTCTGCCTGTTTAAAGCTCCGGGGATCATTAATAACCTCCTGAGATTTATGTGGTGTTCATTTTGGCTGTTGGCTGGGTCAGTGGGACGGAATAAGTTTAAGAACTGGACTTTGTCCTGGGACAGGTTGTGTTTTTGTTCAGGCTAAGTGGGTTTATCTTTAGATTTAAAGGTTTGTTTATATATTCATTCCAATGTTTTTGCAATTTGGTCCAAATGACTTCTTCAAAATAAGAACATTATTGGCTAAAAATGTATAAAACCATTTTCCTTTAGGTTTTACATTTCTGATCTGTACATAATGACATCAGGCACAAGAAATATTTAACTCTATATCTCCACTTGATGGACCCTGGTTGTGTTTAGGTTCTCCAGGTTTTGTGTCTCTACCTTAAACTGCCCTTAGTGTGAGTGTGTGTGGTTGTGGGTCCTTGTGTGTCTCTGTGTGTCCCTGTGATGGACTGGGGACCTCAGAGCTCACATTAAGAATCTGTGAGAGGTCAGAGTGGACTGAGTCCTTTATCAGAGCTGGAAAACAGGAAGCTGTAGATCCTCTTTGTTTGTTGAGTTAGCATCCTTCTGTTCCCTTTATTCCACTCAGAAGCTGTATTTTCTAATCCGGAAGAGCTCATATTTAGAACGGTATTTGATTTTATTTATATATTTTAAAGGAGGCTATCATTTTGTTACTGGTCATTACAGATTGTGTTTTAATACCAAAGTTCTTTT